GATAGAACCATAGGTCATTTATTTTAGACCTTTCTTCTTTTTACTATAAGTATTTCAGGGTGTAAATTTCCCTCAAGCATTTATTTAGTTGTATTCCCCTTTTTTTTTTTTTTTTTCTTTCTGGCAGCTGGCTTATACAGGGATCAGACACTGGACCTTGGTCCACAAATTTTGATGTATCATATTTTCACTGTTATTCAGATTGAAATATTTTCTGGGCCGGCCCGGTGGCGCACTGCTACAGTGCGCCGCTTGGGAGCGCAGTGGCGCTCCCGCCGAGGGTTCGGATCCCACATACAGACCGGTTCCCGCTCACTGGCTGAGCGAGGAGCGGGCACAACACCGAGGGTTGCGATCCCATTGCCGGTCCCAGTCCGGTACGGGCGCGACACTGAGGGTTGCGATCCGTTGCCGGACACGAAAAAAGACAAAAAGGAAAAAAAAAAAGAGAAATATTTTCTAATTTCCCTTTTAATTTTTCCTTTGGCCCAAGTTATTATTTAATTTCCAAATTTGTTTTCTTTTTCCTAGATATCTTATTGTTACTGATTCCATTTTAATCAGGGAATATATTTTTCTATTTTAATTATAAATTTATTAACATGTTTTGTGGAGCATCATATAGTCTGTTTGGTGAATATATCATCTGTACTTAAAGCAAATATGTATTCTACAGTGTTGGATATGATTGTATAAATATCGATTGGATCAACATGGTTGGTAGTGTTGTTCAAATAATCCATATTTTACTGATATTTCTGCCTAGTTTTCAGTCAATTACTGAAAGGGAGGCTTTTATATTTTTAAGTATGATTGTGGAAGTGTTTATTTCGCCCTTTAATTCTGAGAAATTTTGCACTGTGCAATTTGAAGCTTTATTATTAGGCATAAACAAATGGTTGTTATACCTCTTGATGAATTGACTTTTTAATTTTGAAATATCCCTCTATTTCTGGTAGTATTCTTCCTCTTTAAGTCTACCTTATCTGGTATTACTATAGCTACTCCAACTGTTATAAGCTTACTGTTTGTGTAGTGTATCTTTTACCATTGCATTTTTATCCATTTTGATGATCTCCACCTTATAATTGAAGTTTTTAGCCCATTAATGCTGAACGTAATTATTAATATGGTTGGATTTAGGTTTACTATTTTACTATTTGGTTTCTGTCTGTCCCTCTGTTTTTTTGTTTCCCTTTCCTGCATTTTTTTTAACTTAATTGAATTTTTTTAGAATTCTCCTTCCCAAGCTATTAGCTTTTTAAATATGTCCTTATATTTATCTGTATGTGTGGTTACTGTAGGGATTACAATATGCATTCTTAACTTTTTGCATATACTTACAACTAATATTGTACCATTTCATGTACATTATAGAAATATTTCAACCTAATTACCAGAATTGGTCCATTTTCACCCCATTTATTCTTTATATTTTGAAGTCATATGTATTGTATCTACATATGTTATGAACATATTGGCAGTGTTATAATTTTTTAGTTTTAGAACTTCTTATTGGTTTTTCTTTATAGTTTCTTTCTCTGCTGAGATTTCCTGCCCTATCATTCACTTAAGCATATTTTCATTTATATCTTTGAATATAATTTTAACTGTTCCTTTGTCTGCAAATTCTAATGTTTGAGTCACCTTAGGATTGGTCTCTGCCTATTGTCTTTTCTCCTGAAAATGGGTCATATTTTCCTATTTCTTTGTGAAATAATTTTAGATTGTATCTTAGTTACTGCTGTGATTATGTTGTAGAGACTCTAGATCCTGTTTTATTAGTCTGAAAAGTGTTGCTTTTTGTTTGTTTTAGCAGGCGGTTAATTATCGGGTGCAAACTGCAATCTCTGTCTCTTGAGGGGCAGCCCAGATCTTCATTTGTTTTACTTTTAGCTGTGATTTTTGGAGTTTTCCCGGCACATGTGTGATTCACAAGTCAGCCATAGATTTATGCTGAGTGTACACACAGAATTCAGGACTCTTCCTTTCTGACTTTATCCTTTCCAGGATTCTCCCCTCACTTTCCAGTGGCTTTGGTACCTGATACCTGGTCCTGTTTCTTCAGGCAGAAAGACTAAAGCATTTTTATCAGAGTTTTAGTTGCTCTGCCTGTTGTGATTGAAGCCTGTCCTCAGGCTAAAAGCTGCAACAAACAGGTAACTAACTCACTTAGTGCCATTCCTTCTTTTAAGTGTTGATTCCCCTCTAGAATCAACCTGTTTTTGTTAATTTTCTAGTGCTTTGAGGTAGTTATTTATTTATTGTATTTTTGTCTCTAGTTTATAGTTGTTATAGAGATTTGGTCTGATAAGAGGTTACTTAGTCATTATTGGAAGTAATATGGCAAATGTGGTGTGGTACAGTCTTAATGGTTATCTCATTATTTAAAAATATCCAGAAAAGGAAGGGAGAAAGTGTGATGTATATAATTCTCACTCTCTCTCTGTCTCTGTCTCTTTCTCTGTCTCTCTCTGTCTCTCTCTCTCTCTCTCTCTCTCTCACACACACACACACACACACACACACACGCACATAAACACCCAGTAATTTAAAGAACTGTCCTATTAACTCCATAGTCTACTTAATAAAACATTAGAGCAGAGAACATTTACAATGTAAGTGTAGACAGTATGTCAGAAGGAAAATTTTTAATGTCAAGATATATATGTGGAGAAATAAAGCTTGTGGGGTTTATTGTAATGGTTTTCAGTGAGGTTATATTAGCAGCAATTACATTTTAGAACCTTTATAGGTTGATGAAACCTTGGGCTTATTTTGAAGTTCTGTTGTGTATTGTACAGCCAATGGTTTTTTCTTCTGATGTGTGTTTTGTTTTGATTCAGTTAATATAATGAAGAAAGTAATTTAGTGTCAGAGGCCTCAAAATGATTAATTTATAATTTAAAAAATTTCGGTGGATACTTTCCAATAAAACTTCCACTTTCTAAGAAATGTTCCTGTTATAATTCCTCTTCTGCTGCTTAGATTCTTTGCGAAGCAGGAAGCAGAATCTGTGCTTTGATATTACTTTCATCTCTGTGCCAGTGGTTTTCCTCCCTGCTCTATCTCCTTTGCTTTATATTTCTTTCTCTTAACATTTTTTATTACTTTTAATTTTTAATCCTTTTGTGTAGTAGGAAAGAAAGATTAGGAATATGGATCACATTATTTGATTTTTTCCCCCTCTTTTCTACTGCACATTATCTATTTGCCTAGCCCTTATCCTTTCTTTTTCAGGGGTTGTAGAATATTTTTAATATTTGCTCAATGTGTTGGGAATTTGTAGAAATAAAAGCAAGGACTCTATATACTCTTCCTCTATTGGGAAGGCCCTGCTTGTTTAATTTTTAGGTATTTCAAGATGTTCCAGCCAACTGACAAGGACTTCTCCTCACAGTGTCAGAACTGTAGTGACAATAAGAGTAATGCAGCTAACAAATAGTTCTGGCATGTAACCACTTTTGCATGTTTACTTCACCAGAAAATTATCTGAAGTACAGTGGTATCCTATTTCCTAGTTAAAAATTTGGAAAACCATTTGCATGCTTTCCAAGTAGATTTTAAGGTAATAGTGCTAATCAAAGAATGGAGAATATACTTTAATAAAATGTGAAATTCTACAAAGATTAGTATATCTTCATTTCTTAACTCATCCAAAAAAGGAAAACAAAATTTAAACTTGTATTCTTAGAACTTTCTGAATGATATGATAATTAATTAAACTCTGGGTTTTAGTGTATTTCTTATTATAAAGCCAATTTGATCCTATATGCTTTATTAGGGAAATACCAGTCACAAATATGGGCCATATTCATTTTTTGTATAGATTATCAGCGGAGATTTATTTGGTTTTTACTTTTCTGTCTGTGTGTTTGGTAGCTGACTGGTACATGGATCCGAACCCTTGACTTTGGTATTGTAACACTGCACTCTAACCAACTGAGCTAACCAGTTTACTTTTTTAAACTAAATTCTTTGGTCCTTATGTTATCATAAATTATAAACAAATATTGTAGAAGATGTATATATACTTTGTAATGTGTTCCTTGGACAATCTGGTTGTACTAAGTCTTTAGAGTAGAGTGATCCACTGTATAGGTTTTTCTTTATAAGTTATCAATTGTTGGATTGGTTCAGGATGAAGAGAGCAGAATTCTCTACCTTTTTATCATAGTTTACTTTTCTACTTTAACAGATGGTGAGATGGTTATTGTTATGAGACTAGGTAGGTTGCTTCTTGTAATAATTGTTGATTTTTAGATATAATTATGGCATTTAAAGATGCTTTGGCTTATACTTGGGAAAACTTTGTGTGTTTATATGTTATACTTGTAAGTAGTTTATTGCTGCTTGTGATTTTGAATGCCATGTGACCTTTTTTGGTTGTTTTATTGTGTAGAATACTCTTTATTATCCATTTGTATAGGTTTCAAAACTCAAAATATTTAGTATATTATCAATGGAGATTAATTAAGGAACAGAATGCAATCCAGTGAAATCATTGTTGTAATACATGGCTTTAAAAATATTATCTTCCTATTTTTAAAGGAAATCTAGGTTTATTTGAATATTATTTTTTTCCACTGTCAATGATGTTTGTTTGTACGTATATTTCTTAAGTCATCTAGGGTTGTCATCTTAAAGAAGAGTAGCTATATTTCTGAAGTGTTTTTCTACTGTAGTTAATACAAACAAGTCCATTTTATAGATGCAAGGACTTAAACAAATCGAAAAACAAAAAACAAATGATTTACCCAGGGCTACAGGGCTCGCAATAGTCTTGTAACTAAAGCTCAATTTTGTTTGCTAGCTTTGTAATTTAATCCATACCAATTGATGTTTTCTGTATTGATAACTTTGGTCCATTAACCTAAAGGTAATTTATGAATTAACCCTGATATTCTCTGACTTTGTAAATCTGCTGGTATTTTCTTCATTGTTATTTTAAAAAATTACAGTAACTAATTTTTGTACCACACCCTTTTTTTCCCCTTTAGAAAAATTGGAAGCTCCACCACCCACCCCAGGACAGCTGAGATATGGTAATGGTTCTATAATTGTTAAATATATGTGCATCTATCTTTTGGACTTGAAATAACTATATCATTCATTGATATCACAGAAGAATCAGTAAATTAAATCTTTCCAGATAGAGTGGATTATCCCATTTATTATGTTGAAGCATAAAGTTTATAAACTTGGTTTAAGATACATCACAATACTATGGAATATCTAATACTTTAAAAAATATCTAACATTGTTAAAATATTGTTATCATCTAGAAACTGAATTATACTTGTGATAGAAGTTTTCTTAATTCCCAGGTTAAAGGATGTGTTTACTTCCCAGGAAAGAGGATGTGTTTGAATTTAAGTTGGGTAACCACAGAGCTAGAATTTCTAGGCTCAAGTCTAGGAAGAACCGTTCTTTGGTGGAGAAAATACTTCTGGCTAGCTGTTTGTAATAATGAAAAAAGTAAAGTTCATTTAAAACCACCAGGAAGAAGAACCTCCTGGTGTTCTTTCTTTTCTCTATTATGACAGGAGTAAATATTCAAGGACTAACACTGAAGTAATGTAAAACAGTTTGGATCTTATTGTAAAGACAATGGAAGAAAAGGATTATTTAACAGTATAGTGAATTTGAGTAGGTTGTAAATCAAAACTAAATATTAAGTGTGATTTCCTAACAACTGCTGAATTTTGGAATAGTGTTTCCCAAAGGAAGTTGAAGACATCACAAATTCGTAGGAGATCATTACATACTGGAGAGCAAATTTATGTAATTAAAACAAAACAACTAAAAAACCCTCGTGTAATAGCCAGTTCTTTTTCTCTCACAGATAGAATGTAATTTATATTAGAAATTTGTAAAAGCTTTCCTCAAATACAAAAGGAATTCAAGAATTCTTAAAACTTCTCTTTCCAGGTAATGTTTTCCGATTCTCCCAGCCTAGATTCATATAATCTTATGTCCATGGCACCATATAGTACTATTATCATTTTTTTTTTTAGGTCTTACTGAAATTAACTGTTCATATGGCTGTGTTATCATAAACCCCTTGAGGGCTGCCTTATTCATATCTCTAGTGCCCAGTGGAGTGCCCAGTACATATTTAACTTTTTGGAAAATTATATTTTGTCCTTTGAGTTAAAAATAAATTTTTATTTATAGGACATATTTACGTAGGTGTAAAGATAAAAACATGATATATCTTCCAATTCAAAGTGGTTATTGTAGCATTGTAACTTTGGTTTTATTGACAGAATTTTTAGTAGGATAGCAATTAGTGTTATCTTAATTTAATGACCTTAACACCTAATTTTAAGATATTTGTAACTGGCCAGTTTTAGAGATGCCATCAATTTAACCCTAAAATGTTAAATAATCCCAGCCAATTTCATTGTTACTTTGCTGTATTTACCTTTCAAAGGTAATTTGGAAGATGATTTGGGAGACTTCTCTTCAGAGATATACTTAAGTAGCTTTCTCTTTACTATAAATGTTTCCTTAAGTGAATTTAAAAATTTTTATTACACTCTTTTGACCTATTAAATTTGAATTATATTTTTGGAAATAGGATTATGCATGTTTTGGAAGCTGCTTATTGTAAATTTTGAATGTTTAGTAGTTAAGCAAGCATACTTAGGCAAAAAGTGGTAAAATTAAAGCTAGACTCTTTAATTGAAAAATTCCATTTCATTAATGCACTATTTGATCAAAGTTTCTTTAAGAGCTTTTAAAATAATATTTTTTATAATTAAAGATGCTGTTCTTGATCTTAGACATTATTGCTTAATAACAAGAAACTGAAATGACCTATTATATACCTATTATATAGTATTTTATATAATTTACATAATTGTAATAATATATGTAATAGTATATATTATTATACTTTATGTTATTTTCCCTTATCTTAGTCTTTGATAGTAGTTGTGGGTAGTTGTACTTCTTTTGCTGCTTATTAGTCTTCCATGATTGGTGCAGAACTCAACATAGTAATATTAAATTTTCATAACTTATGAATTATATTTTAATTATACTTCCTGTGGACTTAACTGCACTAAAAGAAAAAAACACTGAAAAATCACTGAACACATATAATCAATTGCTTTAAGAGACTGTTTTTTGAATGTAGAATAAAACTCAGAGTTTTGATGTTTATCAAAAACAGTCCTCAGGTGAACTGATGTTAAGTGTGTACTTAGCAATTTCACAGAGTAATTAGAACAAAGTATTTTACCTATTCCCAGCTTTTAATGTTTCATAGTCTGCCGTCAGTTCTTTCAATATGGCATTCTCTTTCTTTCCAAGTTAGTGGTCCTCAACCTAATTAACTGATATTTACTGAGCATCTACTATTCCATAGGCATTGCACAATGTGCTGAAGATGCAACTATGAGAAAAAAAAAGGCTAAATGTATACAAATGATATAGGTATAAATGATATAGATATTAGTTCTTCCCAGTCACATTTATAATATCTCAGGTCATTCAGATTATGCACCAGATAAATGAGGTTAGGTATGCCTTTGGTAGGAAGCAGCCAAGTTACTTTTTGATTTAAATCAAATATTGATTGTTGATAGTTCCATTAATACTTAGTGATATTGATGAATGGTGAGGGGGGAAAAAAGACTACATATAGATCTCTAATATAGATGAGATAATCGCCTTTTTCTAACATTAAAAAAAATTGGTTAGTGACTAAAAGCAACTAAATAGCCTCCCTGAAATTTTATTCAGGTTATTTTTTATAATTTCTAACAGACATCAATTTTATATCAGTCTTTAGGGATAAGAGAAAAACAATTGATGTCAGTAGCAATTAATCAGATAAAACTTGGTACTCATATATATTTATTAATTTGTTCTTCCACTAACTGTATGTATGTGTGTGTGTGTGTGTATGTTGCCAATAAGAAAACACAAAAGCCTAACATGATTATTTCTGTGTTATGTATTTTTATGTTTTGTTTTGATTTTCCCAGTATAGCCTCTACCAAGTAGTTAAAATTATAGCCGTAGCAGAATTCACTGGCTATGGGGAATGAAAAGCAAACTCTAAAGATTATCAAGTCTATTGAGGAAACTTTAATCATATGGATGGTATGTTTTTGTCATAATAAAGTTGTATTTAAAATATATTTTTCTGTTTTTGATGTTTTTCAGTATTCATCCACAATGCGATACCTTTCATAGGGTTTGGCTTTTTGGATAATGCAATTATGATTGTTGCAGTAAGTTCTTTCTCTCACCACTTTTATTTTGAGTTAACAGAGAAATTAATGTGGTCTATATTTTCTTAATAATTTGCATATTGTAGTTATAAAGCTTTAATCAACATCATAATGAGCAAGGCATTTTTTTTTACTAAATTTCTTAGTAAGTAGACTGTAGCTCAATTTTAAGGCATCATATATATTAATCATCAAGACTTTTGATAAATCATTTAGACAAAGTCTTTTTGTACATGCCCTTAAACAAAGCATTTGGGGTCTATATTATTCTGTTCTAGTTTCAACATTCTTATTAAAGAAAAAAATATGTACAATTTTCTGATGTTATTGAGTTGGTAATTGAGTTGGTAATTGTCAGCACATATGAGGGTACTTCAAAAAGTTTGTGGAAAAATAGAATTAAAAGATAATACACATTTTTTCGGGGAACTTTTGAAGTACCCTTGTATATAGGTTATTTGGTTAGTTCCTTTTCAATTTTACCATGCAAAAATGTTTTAACGGGTGTTTTGATGCACAGTTTTGCCTTTAATATAACTATTTAACCCAGAGGTGCCTAACATTTCAATTCAGAATACTGTGAATATATCCCCCTACTGCCTTTGTTTTATTGTAGTGTTAAAAAAAAAAAGTTCTTCTTTGCTGTGGTCATTTTAATGTAAGAGTGCTTCTTAAAAGTGTTTCTTAATCTCAGGGGATGGCTGATTTAACTTTCTTGCTATTACATAACAGCTTTTATTCATGGATATCAATATTGGGTTCATATCCTAAGTCAGAAATAGATTTATGATTAAAATTCAAGTGTTCTATAGCTGCCCAGGGCTCTATTCACTTTTCTCTTGTTTTTTCCAAATAAAATGGGTTGATCATAGTTCAGCTAAGAAGGCAATTATCAACTTTTAGTATACGTTTTTATGATATGTGAAGTAGTTTTTCCAGATATTAGCAGTAAATGGACCGAAGGTCTATTACCTATATCCTGGGAGGAGAAAAAAGTACCAATTATTTATTTCCGGATACTAATTTAGAAGTTCTCAAGTAGGGTTTTTATTTAAACTCAATTGAGAAAATCAAAGTGCTTCATAACACAAAACTTTTCTGAGCTAGAGCTCAGAGAGTTTGTTGTAAGTTTTTAAAAAGTCTACAAATAATAGCTATAGTAGCTATAGTGTAGCTACACTGTAATATAGGAGACTGCTCAAAAAAAGTGGAATGATTTTAGTATTGTTGAATCAGGAAAATACATATGAGAAATGTAGCATTTCCTATTGGTGTTTTGGAGATCATGTTTTTAAAAAGTCTACAAATAATAGCTATAGTAGCTATAGTGTAGCTACACTGTAATATAGAAGACTGCTCAAAAAAAGTGGAATGATTTTAGTATTGTTGAATCAGGAAAATACATATGAGAAATGTAGCATTTCCTATTGGTGTTTTGGAGATCGTGTATTACAAATAGACATAAGTAGAAGATTTTGTTTCAATATGGGGATTAAAAAATTAATTCACACTGTAGAGATTTTAAAATTTGTTTAAAGATTATCTAAAATTGGTTCATTGAAGAATGTTTTTGTTTGCTATCTAGTCTAGCCTTATGTTCAGATTGATGGGGATCAGATATCCAGAAAGTCCAGCCATTCACCTAGTTGAGGAAAGTTACAGTGTTTCTACAGCAGGAAGGTATTCTGCTATGTAAACATTTCACAGAAGATGCTCTACCATGCATACATCTTGAAGGTGATAAGAAACATTGGAGAATTCTTTAGGAGAGCAGTCTGACAAGACCAGATTTCTAAAGGTTGACACAAATTAAAATGTGTGCCCTAAAATATAATTTCAGAATGCCAGTTTTTTGACTGATTATGGTGTTTTCCTAACATGAATATAAGAATAAAATTAGTGAATTTATATATCTGTGAATGTGACAAATTTATTCAACTATGTAGAACCACACTGCCTATTCTGAAACTATTAAAATCTGAGTTGGCTAGATTATTTTAAATAGTTAGTGTAGGTCAAATCTAATTGTAATGAAAACCCCTTTATGATGAATTTATAAGCTATAGTTAAGACTTGAATAGATTCTTGGGTAGGTTGTCTGAATTAAATCTTCTCTGTGGCATATATTTCAGTTTTACACAATTTTTTTTTTTTAAAGGATGACCGGTAAGGGGATCTCAACCCTTGGCCTGGTGTTGTCAGCACCACGCTCAGCCAGTGAGCAAACCGGCCATCCCTATATAGGATCCGAACCCGTGGCCTTGGTGTTATCAGCACCGCACTCTACCGAGTGAGCCACGGGCCGGCCTCAGTTTTACACAATTTTTTTTTTTTTAAAGGGTGACCGGAAAGGGGATCTCAACCCTTGGCCTGGTGTTGTCAGCACCACGCTCAGCCAGTGAGCAAACCGGCCATCCCTATATAGGATCCGAACCCGTGGCCTTGGTGTTATCAGCACCGCACTCTACCGAGTGAGCCACGGGCCGGCCTCAGTTTTACACAGTTTTACTCAACATTTTATATGGTGTTTATCGACAGTTAGTACTCATACTACCTACCATCTTAATAACTTCCCCCACCCCAGCCTCAGTAGGGCAGACCTTAGATATTCAAATGCTGAAACACACCTTTGCTACAGGGAAGGGTTTAGATGATTTATTTTGCATAAAGAGGGATGTAGGGGGATTTTGAAGAGAGATCAAAGTAGAGAAACTGGGTATCTTAGATTCTGAATATGACCTTCACAGTATGGTCTTACCTTTCTTTGAAATAAATATCAAAGGGAACAATATCTAGGTTTAAATACAGCTCACAAATCAAACCGAAGTAAACACCCACAATCTTGAGTCAGATTATTGTAGTACAGTTGTCTTTTGGTATCCATGGAAGGTTGGTTCCGTGAACCCAGAAGGATACCAAAATCCACGGATGTTCAAGTCCCTCATATAAAATGGTGTGGTATTTGCATGTAACTTAACACACATCCTTCCATGTACTTTAAATCATTTACTTATAATACCCACATGGATTCAATTCAAGTTTTGCTTTTTGGAACTTTGTGGAATTTTTATTTTCTGAATATTTTTGATGTGAAACCCATGAATACGGAGGGCCAACTGTATTGTTCATTATTTTGTGCTACACAGGCCTGTGCTTCATTATTAGTAAACTGAATGTGAGCCATTTTTCCAGGCCTGACATGGTTGACTTTAAACTGGTAATACTTGCTGTTTACATTGAAAATCCAGTTTCAGGGACTTATCACCAGTTTTTGCTGAAATAAATGTTTTAAACCACTGACTTCAATACGTGGTTAAGAATAATAGGTGTGATAAAAATATTATCCTGTGAATATTGCAAATTAATTCAGAGAGAGTCAGACTTACCACTGAGACTTTGTAATAGACTGCTGAAACTAAAGTACGTGCTGGTAAATAATAACCATAGAACCTATGAAAAGGGAAATAAGTGATCATCATTATCTTCAGAATGTTTTTTACCTTTTTATATTTTTTTAAACACTCCCTGCTCATGTTGTGCAACAGCTATGACTGTTTTACGATAACAAGATAAGGAGATTCTTGATTGTTCTTTTCTGTCATGCCATAGACATTTAATGTTTTTCTTCTTCCTGTTAGGTATTCCCTCCTGGCTGCTATCCCAATCGTAGACATAAAAAGAAATTCCTATATAACTGCTTGTAATAGATTTGACCTTTTTTGTGGGCTATTCTTCATAGTTTTTTATTTTTATATTTTTGAATTGCTTTTTATAACATATTTTAGTGGCTATTTTGGATTACTGTGTTTACAATTTAATTAGGATGGAATTTATTAGAATTTTAGAGTAGATTAACTGTATTAAGGTGATGAACCCAGGTATAACTTTGAGACAACAAGTATTAGATTTATTTATAATTTCTACCTCACCTGTTGATGCAAAATTGAAACTGTGGAACAAAGTAAAGAAGGGGATAGTCCAGTGCCCTCAAACCATCTTCGACTTTATATGAGGTTGTCGTGCTATTAGAAGGATCTTTAAGTGTCTTAAATTCAACCAATGACTAAGCACTTAAATACTTGTTAAATACCTGTATTGCAGAGAGCTTCTTCTTAGGTCACTGCCAATGATTCGTTGCTTTTCAGGTTGCTGTATTTATTTATCATGCACTGTAGCTGTCAGGTGTCTCTCTTCATATTGGTGTTTGTATTAGTTTTCTGTCTAGTTAGTGTGCTTATAACGAGATACCTGAAACTGGGTATTTTATAAGAAAATGAAATCTATTTCTTACAGTTTTGGAAGCTGGGAAGTCAAGTTCCAGGGAACACATCTGGTGAGGGACTCTATAGAGTTCCATGGCGATAATGGCAGGAGTCAGAGATCTTTCATGTGCTCTCCTTATAAAGCCACCAAACCACATCCAAGACAACTCATTAAACCACCAACCCATTACTCCATGAATACATTAATTTACTCATGATCCAATCACTTCTTAACAGCCCCACCTTTCAAATACTATAATAAGATTCCCCACCCTCTTAACACTGTTATGGTGGGGATCAAGTTTCCAACACATGAACTTTTGGGAGGCATTCCACCCATAGTCATGTTCTAGTTATTTTTGCATCCATATATGATGCTCATTTTCTTTCTTTTTCTCTGTGCCTGTTTTTTCCTTTTCTTTACTTTCTTTTTCTTCAGAAACCCATTTTTGGGGGGGTACCTGTATGACCTTGTAATTTTAAGTGCCTGGGAGACTTTTGTGCATCAGGCTGTTTGGTCCGTATTTAACAAGAAATACATCTTAAAGGGGTAGAACCAAAAGTCCTAAGGGCAAGAAAATTGAGGAAAACTTAACTCAGCCTTTTCTTCAGTTTTGTATGTAATTGATGGGTAATGCAATATATCTACATAACAGGACATTCTTCTTTTTTTTTTCTCCACAAATATTGAGATTTGAAAAATTTTTAGAAAATTTCAAGCATCAATATTCAAGAGAGCACTTGAAAATTAAGTCCACTTATGGCAGCATTGCTCAAGGATTTGAACTTGATTAGCATAATAGGTCCTAGGATTTATTTTTTATTCTATGTAATAACCCATTAGAATAGTTTTTCTTCATTTCAGTTCTTACTCTGTAAAATGGAAGAAGATTAGCCCCTCTTTTCTTCAGTGGAATGATGATGTTATAAATGTACAAAGTGTTAAACTCACTCAGTAAATAAAGTCAGTGGAGATAGAATGGGGCCTTGTTTTTACTGTAGATTATTGTACTAATGCTGTTGCTGCTTATAAATGAATCATATGTAAGTTTCAGTACTTACTGGTTAAAGAACTAAGTGTTATAAGAATAATTTTTTAAACCCAGTTTCTCTAGAAACTGGTTTAGTCTGTCTTTTTAATCTTTTGATAAAGTAAATAACAATAGTATAGATGTGTCATTCAGAATTTAAAATTATGTGAGTTCGTTTTCTTTGTGTTCAAAGAACTTTAAAACATCTTTCCCTGTGGTAGAAAAATAGAAATTCTAGATTCTTAATAATGAATTGTATTTCTATGTGTGTTGCTATTTTTTATTTTTATAAAAGCCTAATTTTAATGAGTACAAGGTTATTGATGTTATTTCTGTATGAATTTATATATTTATTAATTAAGTGAATTACTACATTATATGTGCATGTTTCTGCATATTTTATATATATAATTTTGTTGCACTAACATGTTGATATTTTATCTGTTTTTATTAATATTACTATTGTTTCATAGTCACTTCGGCTTTAATTTTTAAGGTTAATTTCTTTCTAATCATTTTTCAGGGAACCCATATTGAGTTGTCTATTGGAATTATTTTGGGAATTTCAACTATGGCAGGTATTTAATAATAGTAAATGTTTTATTTCTTTATCTGTATGTTTATAAAACATTTTAGTAGGTTAGTTTCAGAAGAGGATAATTTATATGAATGAATTTACTTACTGAGATGTCTATTAGGTTATCTTCTTAACCGATTCTAGTTTTGTGTATGTAGCACTTCTTTCTGAGAAATTTTAGGTATTTTATGTTAGTCAATGGGTAACGATACTCTTCTATATTGACTGTTTAAACAAGTTTTTCTGGTAATGTTACCCCAAAACCTTTGTACCTTTTGTGTTTATTAAGTTGCTTATTTTCCAGTTGGGTAGAAAAATCAAAGAAGGAAATACAAGATCGAAAGTCTATCTTCTTCTCCCTCAATTACCACTCTATTCTTCATGATGGTGAAATTTGGGAATGGTTCTATGTTCTGTGCTGTATTTACTGTATAAACAGCATGAAGTAGATAAGTTAATGAAAGAGACATTTTTGACTTTCTTGAATTTCCAAGTTGTATATATGGCTTTACTATTAAACTTCCAAATATATCCAAATTCCCCTAAACAAATGTTATATGAAAGATACATCTACAAAATATTGTACAGGTGTTTTAATATTGAAGTCAAAATTGAAACTAGCTGCCATCACAGAAAAAACCTACTACTTAATGGAGGTAGAATATTATAGTTTCAGAATTGTGTTCCATTTTGAAATCTTGAGATTCAGAGCTATTCAGTGAGTTACTTTGGATATAGTTGTTGTAGTTTGAGAAATGTGATAACTCTTCCAGACCAGTGCCTTATTATTACATAGTGATGTATTATATTGATTTTTCTGAGGTTTATGTAACATTTCACTTTTTTGTTTTTCAAATATTTAGCTGCTGCTTTGGGAAATCTTGTGTCAGATTTAGCTGGACTTGGGTAGGTTCATTCATTTATTCATTTGTACGTGCATGTACTACCTGCTATCTTTCTTTTCTCCACTGTCCTTTAATTGAGAAGCTTAAAAAAGTGATACTTATTTTCCTTTGTGTTCTAGAACTAAATTTTTAAATTTAATATTTCTAAATGAATAGTACTAAATCTTTGGGGGGACACCAAATATAGATGCCTGTGTTGTACCCTAGTCATGCAGAATTAATGTCTACGGAGATGGGGCCCTGGCATTGGTGTTTCATAATTTTTGCAAGTGATTCTGATATATGGAAAAATTTGTTCTAAAACTGTCATAATGTAAGCAAAATGACATTTTCATTTACTGAAGTATTAATATGTATTTTGTAGACATTTCCAAGGGTACGACAGTATTAAAAGCAAGAACCCCCATTATTATTCCACCCACCCTTCTGTCATGAAGCCATAATATGAGGGATATGACTCAAATTTGAGGATACTTACTGGGTATGTTTTTTAGAGAGTTGAACTTTCTAGGAAATAATTGCCAAAGTATGTATGGGTTTGGTCATTTTTTGCTCTCTCTATTACATGTGGCAGGAATGATGAAAAAAACTGAGGTTGGCTACTTAGAAAAGACCAGCTTTCCCTCTTTCTCTCTTTCCATTCTCTCTTCCAAGTATAGACAGCCTGGGCTGCTTCTTGGGCTTGGAGAAGGCTAGGAAGTATAAGTTAGGCCAAGTTGGCATTAATTATTATGATAAATATGCTCTCTTTTGCTCTTTGACCTTATTTCTTCTTTCTTTGGCTCATATGAGTGGTATGTTTTGAGATATGGGTTTTGGCTTAGTAGAAGTCTACTTAGCCCTATACCAAAGGCAGGTTTGTAAGTGATCTAAACCTCTATATTAGAGTTCTGCACTGGAGTTTGGAGTCAAAGCCACTATTAACAAATTTTCTTTGTTTTAGGGCCATGACAAGAATTTTATATTCCTGAAATTCCTGGCATAAATCTATCATGATATCACCTTTCAAACATTCCATTTCCCACTTTCCAACTTTAAATTAATAATAATAATAATATAGCTACTGTATAGCTTTCTGATATATTTAATAGAACCAATGGTCTAATAGATTTTAAAGTCATTTAGTTTTGGATTGTATCATAAAATGATTATTTTTTATCAGAGATGAGGATTTTGCTGGGAGCCTTTATGTTTAAGAATTATTTCTCCTCTGCCTTTTTTTTGGTAACCTTAAATAATAAATACCACATTTCATGAATTCTTAGATGCCCATTTTTTAAGAACTTAACATGTCTGTTATCAATATCCATTTTATGATTGATGGTATGCATAGGTTAATTGGCAAATTTTTTTCTTTCTTATAGCTCATAAAGTAAGGTTGTATCCAATAAGGGATGGCAGCTTAGATTTGATAAAATACTTGAGGTTGGCCTGAAAATTCTAGGCTGTTTTTCTTAGTATACCAACCTGATTTTAGAAACTTGCTTTCTGATAAAATTAATTTATATCATATGTTAAAGTACTTTGCTTTGAATTTGGAATACCTTTAATTGGTCTCTTAAAAGTAATGATAGAGAATAATTGCTCAATTTACCTATGTATTAAATATGTTAATATGAAAATATTTTTAAACTGTATATGTTTATACACAATAAAAATAAAAGTTGTAAAAAAATGTTTACACCATTTCTAGAATGTCAAGTACAGGCACTTATTATTAAATTATCTTGCTTCTCTTTGTAGTAATTACATTTTTACTGTATGAAGACATTTGCATGTCTCTTTAAAAACCTATATTCTGGTTGGGGGTTGAGAAGAAGACACAGCAATCACAATTCCTTGATTTTGTTATGACATGTGAACAGAGATGATGTTGATGGCAGGGACTGGGGATGGGTAAGGAGGGAAAGGAGGAATTTAAAGGGATATGAAAATCAACTATATTGTATATCGATAAATTAAAATAAAAAATAAAAAAAAACAGCAATCACAATTCCTTGATTTTGTTATGACATGTGAACAGAGATGATGTTGATGGCAGGGAGTGGGGATGGGTAAGGAGGGAAAGGAGGAATTTAAAGGGATATGAAAATCAACTATATTGTATATCGATAAATTAAAATAAAAAATAAAAAAAAACCCCTATATTCTGTCCTCTTGTCTTGTTTTTTTAAAGGCTTGCAGGCTACGTTGAAGCTTTGGCTTCCAGGTTAGGCCTGTCAATTCCTGATCTCACACCAAAGCAAGTGGACATGTGGCAAACACGTGTTAGTGCACATTTGGTAAGTAATTTTTATGGTTTATGATAATGAATTCTGGTAGCCAGAGCAAGATACTATATAGTTCAGGCCCTTGAGAAATCTGAGATTAAAATTGATTTGAGTAGAGTTATTAACAAAAATTTTCTAGGCCTTGGCAGTTTTCAGAAGAGCAGTAATTTGTTTATTGATTCCTTATTTTTTTTGTATTTGATTTAAAAAAATTTTTAAACAATTCAGTTAATATTAAGGAGTATCCATTATGTGCCGGACACTGAAGGGCATAAAATGAATAATAAATTACAGTTATCTTTGAGGTACTTGTTTAGGTGCAGAACCAGACATGTAAACAATTATAATTTAGTATGATATATGCAGTAATAGAATTCTGCACAAGATAAAGCAATAGTACAAGTGAGGGAAGTAATACTTTGTGGGGCGAAAGTTCATTTGGTGGAAAGATTTCTTCGTGATTATTGAATTAAGCTGATTTTTGAATTGTTGAGACATTTATTAGATGAACAAGAGAATTACAAGTATACTGACTAGCAAGTAGAAGAGTGTGATTAAATAAAGGGTATATTCAGAGAAACACAAAAAAATTAGGTGTTTCAGGAATGTAATATGTAGTAATTGTGGGCAGAAGCAGCAGTAGAAAGCAGCATTGGAGAAGTAAGCATTGATCAGACAGGAAAGACATTGTATAGGCTACACTAAGGAGCTTGAACCTCATAACTAGGTGATGGAGAGCCAGCAAAGAGTTTTAAATAGGAAGGAAACTGGATGGATTATGATGCCACCAACTAAGTCAAGAAAAGAAGGAGGAAGAACAAATTTGTAGGGGAAGATAATGAGTTTTGTATTGGACATTTTGAATTTGAGATGCTAGTGGGACATTCCAGTGGTGATACCAGTAGATATTTGGATTAAGGTTAGAGAGGTCTGAATTAGAGACGATCAGTATCGTCATTCATACATTCAACAAATATTTATTGTGTACCTACTATATACAGGTCTAGGAGTTTTGAACACATCATTTAACAAAACAAGGTCTTTTTTCTTGTGGATCTTACATTCCAGCAGGAGTGGGACAGACAATAAACAAATCTGACAAATAAAATATTTACTATATTAGAAGTTCATAAGAGTTTTGGGAATAAAAACAAAAACAGCAGGGTAAAGGAGATTGGGAGTGCTAAGATGGAGGCAGATTGCAGTATTAAATAGGAGGGTCACTGTAAGCCTCACTGAAAAGGTAGGTGATAGTTAAAACCGTGGGAGAAGGTGAGATTGTATAGGGCAGTGGTTCTCAAAGTGTGCTGCCAGGACCAGCAGGATCAACATTACCTGAGAACTTATTAGAAAAGTAAACTCTCAGGCTTCATCTTAGACCTGTCTATTGCTGTGTAAAAATTTACCACAGACTTAGCAGCTTAAAACAACACATATTTATTACCTCTCATTTTCTGTGGGTCAGGAGACCAGGCACAGCTCTACTGGGTCCTCTGGAAGGCTGCAATGAATGTACAACTAGGACTTGGTTCTTATCTGGGGGCTCAATTGATGATGAATCCACTTTCAAGCTCACTCAGGTTTTTGGCAAAATTAATTTCCTTATGGCTGTGAGGGACCCAACTTCTGGCTAGATGCCTGCCAAAGGTTGCTTTCATCTCCTACAAGTCTTCTTCACCATCTAGAGGGCACTTGCAGTTCCTTGCCATGTGGCCCTCTCCATAGGCCCTGTCACAGCATGGCAGCTTCCTGCTTCAGAGCTAGCAAGGGAGAGAGAGAACAGGTTTCCTGGCAAGATGGAGGCTTATGCAATGTAATATATAATTACAGAGGTAGCATCATATCACCTTTTCTACTGTTAGAAACAAGTTAGAGCGTCCTGTCCATGATCAGGGGGCTGGAGGTGGGGAAGGAGGGTGGTGTGTGTGGAGATTATGCAAAGGCTTGAATACCAGGAGAAAGGAATCATGGGTGCCTCCTGAAAATCTGTCTGCTATAGATTTACAGAATCAAAAATTCTAGAGGTGGGGCCCAGCAATTTGTGTTTTTACAAGCCCTCTGGTTAATTCTGCTTCATATTAAAATTTGAGAACTATTGATCTAGATGGAATGTGCAAAATTAAAGAACCCTAGAGGATATCTACAAACTCATGGTCTTATGGAAGCTTGCAAGGGAGAAGTTTTAAGAGGCAGTGAGTGGTAATCAGTTTTTCTTGCTATAAAGAAATCAAGTAAGGATTCTGAGAAATTTTTTTCTTTGGATTTGGTACATAGTTGCTCATTGGTAATCATTCTTGAACAATTTCCATGGATAGATAGGAAAGGCAAAATCAAATGGCAGTGGATTAAAACATTAATGGGAAGTGAAGAATAGAGTAAAATATAAGATCAATGTATTTAAATTAAGTTGAATTTGTTTTAGTGAGGTTATTAAAATAAACCTGTTTGCTGGAAGTAAATAGAATTTGTACATGAAAAATGTCCAGATAGAGCATAGAAGTATACACATAGGAAAGATGGAATTAAATTCATCACTCATCACTTTAAATGTCCAATTTAAACTCAGGACAGGTGGTCTTACACAGAGCATTTTGGTCTTTATACTATAATACTTTGCACTTTATTTTAATCATTCATGTTAAAGAATATTAAAGTTCTTTGTTTTATACATTATCAGTTTGGAGGCTCCTTTGTTGCTTTTGAGTTGCTAATGGTAGTAGTTAGTAGTTATTTTTCTTAAAGGAGAACATTTGGATTTTTTTTAATATCTGAAATTTCCAGTTATTACTACCCTTTAAAATTTGAGTAGTAGAAGAGTCACTACTGTACTAAGAAAGTGTTTAGTTTTCAATTGAAATGTGGGAAGAGTGTGTAGAAAAAAAATGAGGAACTATTTGCTTATTATGGTTTTTACTTTATAAAGGATGAAAAGTCTTTTAAGGAAGAAGAATGTTAATTTTGGACTTTTATTTTCTGTGTGTCCATATTCTGCAATTTGTAGATAAATTGAAGTGAGACTAGCTAGCCGACATCAGCCAGAGTTGTTGGGGAATAACGATATTCTAACAGTCCAGCAATTTGGCTTAAAATTTTAGCATTACAGTTGGTATCAGAAATTTATTTTCCTGGAGTCTCCTCTTCTCACGTAATTGACAATTCTGTTTTCTTTCTATATTGTAAGCAAGTTCAATTTCCCTTCGTCTTTGGCAATAACACCTCAGTTACTAAAATTATATTTATATATTTACTGTATGTGTATTTGTGTGCTTTGGTAAATCCCCCACCAGCATATGGAAACAATGATTCTATTCCTTTGTTGACTCTGCTTGTTTTATGTTAGAATCAGATCTTCTACTCTGTAACATAGCATTTTGATTACATACAGCCTGAAGTATTTGAAGGTAGTAGTCAGCCATCTACTTATGAAATAAGCTAACTCTGAAATTTACCCATAACAACATACACAAAAATCCACCTGTAGGTTCCAGTTGAAATTGGTTGTATTTTAAAAACTCATTTGTAATTTGGTTGTTTGAAACTTGGAGAATGTTTTGTTGTAAAACAATATTAGAGATGGACTTGTGTTCTCAGATTAGCCCCAAAGTAGTTAATTGTAAGAACGTAGAGTATCATAAGCCCTAATAATAATATGTGAGTAACTTTTTATAATGGAAAAATGTATTTCAGGTCCTGGATCAGGGAGTCCAAAAAGGATATCACTTCTTTCCTCCTTCCCTGCCCTATTGACTTTATATATCTCATTGAGATAATTGTGTCAGAACTCACTGACTGGGATTCCTAAAGTGAGGGGGGAGGAAAGCGTTGGTTGCCATGGAGGATAGTAACAGGCATTCTAACAGAGTGGGTAGGAAGTGGAATTGGGGCCTATTTGCAATGGTCGTTCATGTATATGGGAAAGTCAGAATATAGTCTCTCTGTGAGTGTAAAAATGCATACAAATATTGAGATCAAATAAGAATCTAGGGTTAACTTTATCAGCATTCGGAATAAAGAAAATTTCTACTTGTTAAATCTCTGGAGGAGTGAGAGTGATACCTTCTAAAATTTTGACGTAATGAAAATGACAGGTTTGACTATTAATATAAAGCATGGGCAAAGAAAATTTCTACTTGTTAAATCTCTGGAGGAGTGAGAGTGATACCTTCTAAAATTTTGATGTAATGAAAATGACAGGTTTGACTATTAATATAAAGTATGGGTTTTTGACGTAATGAAAATGACAGGTTTGACTATTAATATAAAGCATGGGCATACTGTTACCATCACCACCACTGCCACTAACAACAACAAAAACTCCCAAAATAACAGAGTTGAAAAATTTTTGTGCAAGCTGTTGTCAAACATTGAGGTCTGCTATTGAAGTTTGTTATGAAAACTGTAGGAACTGGTAGATAAATGGACAATGTATAGGAAAAATTCTGTTCAAGACTATAGATTATGTAGCTATCATAACATCTGTAAATATTTGATAGAACTTATTTGTCTTTCTCTGTATACCTAACTGGAAGTTCCTGGAGGACAGAGACTGCATCTGATTAGTCCCTGTCTGCCTAGTGCACGTAGCACAGAGTTTGGTACATAATAGATTCTCAATAAATGTTTGTGTGATGAATTAAAACTTAATTGAAAAGTGTTTAAACTTGATAATCATAGGAATGCAAATTTTAAAAATAATTTACAAAGATAAAATTTTAAAAATTTTCATGATATATGTGAGGTTGCAGAAAAATTGGTGTGCATATATACATACATATATAGAAATGTGGATATATGTGTGTGCAGTTTTGTCAAGTATGGACAGCATGACAACACATATGAAGATGCACAAATATTAATATTATTTTATTTCAAAATAAATCATTGGGAAAGAACTATACACAGAAATGTTTGTTGTTTTGTCACTAATAATGATGAAAAGGTAGCAATGGTTTTATATGGTAAAGAGAGCTTTAAGTAAATTATAAATTCATCAATTCAGTGGAGTTTAGATCTTTATATTAAGTTTATGCAGCAGTTTGGAAAAGAATTTACTGTAGCATGTGTGGCTGTGGGTAATGAAGTGAGGCAGGCAGAAAAGAAAGATATGTTTACATAATGAATATATCTACATATAATTAGCTATACATGAGATAAATGTTGAAAAGGAATACAAATCCGAATATATCAAGAGTTACTGGTGAGATTTTTTTTTTTGCCTTCCTATATTCTGACATTAAAATATATGCACAGTGGGCCGGCCCGGTGGCGCACTGCGCTAGTGCGCCGCTTGGGAAGCGCGGAGGCGCTCCCGCCGAGGGTTCGGATCCCACATACAGACCGGTTCCCGCTCACTGGCTGAGCG